GGACTGCTGTCGATGTGTGTCCTGTTTGCAGTGGGAGAAACGTTTCACAGCTGCAGGTTCCCACCTGAGCGGGACGCCTGCACACTGACTGACAGCGGTCAGTTTCATCATCGTTAATATGCAAATATTAATAAATCATGTTTTCATAACCGGCTTTGTTTCTCTTGGTGTGTGATGTCATAAAACAGTTATTAACACTTTATTACCATTATGAGAGAATGAAACGATCACACTTATTCATCCTGCAGTTATCAGTGTTTATGTCGCCCCCTGGTGGCTCAGCCGTGCATCGTGTTCATTGTGTTTCTACATCCCCACAGCCCACGTGAAAGAACAAGAACCACAGACGTGGTGTTCGGGTCACATCTGAGCTGGGTTAGACTTTCATGTTCCGATGTTCTGGGAATCCATCCTACCCGTTGTTTCTACGCATGCGCACAACACGAAATTCAGTGGCGAACCGCCCTACCTTTGTGAATGTGACCTACAAGCCTACTTTACTGTGTGAAATGAAGTGGCAAACCGTCCTGGTTTCATGAATATGAGCTACAAGCATACTCTGATGGGCAAACCGTCATACCTACTTACATCTGTGCTGACAGCACACATGTGCATCAACTACTTAGGTAGGACGTCTTGTCAGAACACCGGTCCACGTGGCATGCTGTACCCAGCCCGGCCGCAGGGGGCGCCCTACCTGCTCAGCGCGGAGGATTGTGGGTCGGAGGAGGCAGCAGCGGGGCATCTTCATCATCACTGCGGAGCGGACCGGGACGTGAGCTGGCAGCTGCTTTTCCGCACTGAAGTGCCTTACCGTCGGAGCCAGAGATGGGACACGGAGACCTCATGAGCCAGGCGGAGGATGTGGCGGACCAGGTAAGCTCCCGTACCCGGGAAACGCGCACTCGGAGCGGCCACACGCTGAGCTGGGACTCGGTCCGGTTCTCTCAAACATCTGGTTGTTGAAAGCTCGGTGATTGCTGCTGCAAAACAAGTTTAGTCGGCTCGAAAAGCAGAGGGCAGCTGCTCTCCGGAACAGCTGTGTTGCTTTAAAATGAACTTTCATGAAGTTTGAAGCAAAGCAGCGATTTCGTCATCGGGAGGGTGGGACAGGAAAGACCGTGGTGCAGATTCATTCTCACTAAAACACCAAAAATGCGATCTTTATTGAGTTGTTCTGTTGGCCGAAATGAAGAACGAGTTCACACGATGGAGGATCGTGTTCAGATGTTTTCTACAAACCACCGGTGTCTGTGGAGACTCGAGGAAAGTTTAAACGTGACAGATTTTAAATGGAGTCTGGTGAAAC